TTTTCCTTTGTCTCTTTTTGTTTCTTTTTCGTTACTAAGGTGAATGGTGAGGAAACCTTTGTTTTAACTAAACATAAATCCCAAACAAAAATAGAATAAAAAGCAAAATAAAAATTAAATAATAATAATACAGCTCGGACTTAGTTCCTTACAAACTTAAAACCATCAGGTTCATTGAGATTCCAATTTTTCTTATCCTTCCCTTCTTTCAAAGTTGTTTCTGGCAAACTGTAATCAAATTGTATGTGTTTCTCTTTGAGCTGGTTGTCTGTATTCATTTTGATGAAAGAAACATTGTTGATCTCAAAACATTGTGTACTGTTGATTTACTTGCAGCTCAGCTTTAATAATTCATTTTGATTTTTTCAATGAATGTGTTTTCTTGCAGTGCGCATGGAACAATTGCACGTCGTTCTCTAGGTATTGTTGAACTCTTGCACTCACTGTTTCATTTTCCTGTTTGTTGCTCCTTATTATTGAGATATTTTGAGATTGTTGAATGAGGTCTTCTCAAATCTTTAGGAATCCAAGTTACTTTTTACAATTCCTGGTGAAATACATCAATTTTCATCTTCTCCTCTACAGTTAGGTCCTTCCCATGTTCCATTTTTAATAGTAAGGTACTATGCAATTTACTAAATCTTCTTTTCCACTTGTTGGTTGTATTTTTATGCAAATTTCATGGATTCTAACCATTACTTTTTTGAAATTAATTCTAATACATGTTCTATTAATGCTGAACATCCTATTTTTCATGATAATATCTAACTTTTTTGTTTATTAATCATTTTTTTCCAAACTTGTGCAATAATTATTGATATTTTGCTATCAAACATACTAGAAAATTTCTAAGTTCTATGTTCACTGTATGTTCTATTATTGTTGGAAGGACTGTAGGTGCATTTACTTTTCACATCAGATAGCTTAAAACCCCAAATCTAAGTTCAAGAGGTAAAAAAGCTCCCAATTTTAAGTTAGAGTTTTGATTTAACAAATTTAATACTCAATTTTTCCATGGTAGTAAGTTTCTCATTACCAAGACATTTCTCAAATCTGTTCACAGATTGTTACGAAAATTGTATACAGTTTATGGCACTTTTGAGTGCCTTGTCAAGCTATCTGCTTGTCTGAGTCAGAATGTCAGTAAAAGGATGCCAATGCAAAGGAACAAACTGCTTACTTTACTAGACTTTGTTCTCTTGTGTATGCGTTTTTTTCTAACAGGATTTGCCTGGATTCTGTTTTAAAATATTTTTGATTCATTGACTGTAATTACATTAGACTAAATGAAAAGCAACACAAAATCAATTTTGTTAAGTGAAACCGATTTGGTATATTTAATTGATTCCAACTCACTTGTCAGTTTTGTAGTCTATTTTGTGTAAAAAGTAAAAAAAAAAAAAACTTTATATGTTGAGTCAATCAAAAGCAATTGTTTGTATTATTAGACAAAAATTATACCCAAATTTTAAAAATTTAAGAAAACTATCTATTTTAAAACCATATATAAACATTGTATTACTAATCATCCAACTATCGGCCAAATTAATCGGGCAGAAATTATGCTACAAATATCAATTAGAAATTATATGATTAGAACAACTAGAGGTAGACATTAGGTGCCATCTCTTAATGAAAGTAGTAACTATAATTTACCTTTAAATTTAAAATAGCCTGGAAGAAAAGAAAGTATCCAGAACAGGAGTTGAGGTTTATCCAACAGTTACCCAACACATCATCTGGGTAACTGTTGGATGATATCTAAAGTTTAAATGTATCCGGAAGGGAGGAATTGCTCAGAGGTCTGGGTGGCGTAACTGGTCAGTGCACTGCATGGTAAGCAGAGGGTATGGATTCAACTCCTAGGTATACCTATCTCTAGTTGTTCGAATCAAGTAATTTCTAATTAACATCTGTAGCATAATTTCTGCCCAATTAATTTGGCTGATGGTTGGATGATCATTTTAAAATTTTCCAAATTTAAACACTGCAATAACAAAAATGAATAATTTGTTTTTTAAATAATTTCCAAAACACACTTTTGCTCACCAGTAACTAAGTGGATAAAACCACCAAACACTGGTAGTTGGCCATGAGTTTTTGCCTCATCAGTGGGTTGGCCTAGTGGAGTTTTCTGGGTTTTTTTTTCACTTTTATAACACCTAAATAGGTATTACTTTCCTAAAAAGACCTCTTGGGTGGCATTCCTCTTTGGCAGACTGCCTGTGTTGCATTCCCTTAAACAAATAAACTGATAAACCCAAACAAAACAACTTTCAAACTAATGGGTAGAAATGTGTATAAAATACCATTAATGACCATTAATTATATTAGTGACACGTAAAAAATGAATGACCTTTTTGATTGACCCAATATTTAATGTTTAAACTACTTACCTTGTTGCATAGAGCTTTGAACTTTTGTAATTTTAGTGGCTTTTTTCTTCACGTGGGTTTGAGATAGACAATTACAGCCAAATGATTGCCAGATTAGATCAGGCTATGTTACTGATGCTATTAAATGGTAATTTGGCCTAGAGATAATCAGAAATGGCACCTAATCCCTAAATTTAATAAGTAGTAATATAAACTAATCTAATCTGGCAATTGTTTAGCTTTAATATAATTATTGGGTTTAGAGATGTTTACGTTTGAGATAGACAATGTTATTTTGTCTGTTTTCTAATGTAATCAATGCTTTTCATACATTCCTTCCCTTAAAAATTGTTGCATGAACTTTAGCTGTTAGGTTAACAGCCACATTTGAAACATTATTTTTGCATGTGGAGTAGCCATTTACTATGGTGTTTAGTAGTGGCAACACAGATAATATAAAATGAAAATGAAACTTGCATTCTGTCGTTTCAAAACCCCATTGTTCTCTTGCTTTGGCACTTGGCAAAACCTGAAATTTCGAAGCCCTGTTGATTTATCAATATTAATTAAAATATATTATTTCTAGTTGTTGTATTTATTGCTGTTGTAAACAAGGTAAAAACCGTTTGCAGAAAAAGTGCTCTACTTGCCTGCCTCTGCTCATAACGATTAACAATTTAGTATAAAAAGCAATGCAATTACAATAAATAATGTACATAAATATGTACGATTATACATAAAATGTGCCGCTTGCTTGCCAAATCGATTAACTCCATAAAACAAAAAGGGGTGAAAAGTGACAAAGTAATATATGTTCTTTTTTAAAATTCCTTGTAAAACATAAATTCAAATATACATTATAGAATGTATTATTGTAGATGTAGCTTTTGACATGAATCGAGTTTAGAATTAGAAAAAACAGTAATACTAACAAGTGCATTGAACTCTACTGAAAATGATAAAATCATAACATATATAGAAGATGGTGAAGTTAAGTATACAACATGTATATGATAGCATAGTTAAGATATGATCGTTATTATTATTATTATTATTATGATTTTGGTGTTATTGAGGGAGTTAATCGATTTGGCAAGTGAAAAACGTAATAACAACAAATTCAGTCTTGACATTAGTGTACATTTTTTATTAAAGATGTCTTCTTTGTCAGTTGTATTTGAGTTCCATCGTGTCGATTTTTTACTTAAATTTTTATAAGAATCATGTTTAATAGAAGGAATGAAAAAAGTTATCTTTAGTTTTACCTATCTTGATATAATGGGAATAACTTTTTTTTTTTCTGAATACAATTGTAACCAAAATTAAAACAATGGTTCAATATTCCACAAGTATACTTACTTCTGCGCCAGTTGGTCAGTAACTAACTAATTTCTTTTACTTACTTTTTGTGATAAGATAACATTAAATAATTTACCGTTATCTACTCAGCACTGGTCAGCGCACACTGCGATTGCAATGCTGTGGTATGCGCTGGTGGATTAACGTTACAGTATGGAGTTAATTAGATTCTTCTGAAATAAATAAAATTTTTTCAATGGCCAATAAAATTTTGTCATTAAGTGGTATCAATCCTTATTATTATGAAAACTTATTATGAATATAAAAAGTTACGAGTATATCAAGTGCTTTCACACTAAAATTTTATAAAATTTGAAATGTGGAGTTAATCAATTTTGTTTGTAAATGGCTCAAATATGCAATTTACTTGTGTTTCTTGATATAATTGTTACAAAATATGGAATGTTATAATGGCAGTAAACAGAAAGAGAGCTGTGTGGACAGATGGGTATAAGAACAGAATGTAATACAGATGTGTAGGATTATTGCTAGAGTGAGCTACATCATGCCTTTTGAATATAGGACAATAAGTTCCTAAAAGGAGGAGAGAGATCCTCATCCCTGAGAATTGCAAGGTCATTCAGTTTTTTGAAATTGGTAATGATTTGTAACTTAGTACATACATCATGTAGGATGGAATATAGTGAAAGCTGAAATGTATTATAGTTTCACACTTGTCAAAGTCATACAGTATATAAGTTTCTCTGCAATCATCAATCTGCATCAGGATATTAGATCTTTAAAACTGATTTATATTATATATTTACCAGCAACATATTATCACACTAGAAAATAAGATTTATTGATACTTTATGTGTTTATATGCCAGAAAGCAACTTGCAAGTGGTTCTGAGCATATGTAAGAGCATTTGTTTTTCTTGAAGGTGGCAAGAACTTGACCTAAAACATGATTCCATCATTGATTTTGATGGTGTGACGATGAGAAAAAGATTTGACAGATCATATTTTCTGTGATACGATTGTGACTTGTCAAATGCAGATTGCTAATAAGTTGCAAATTTATTCAAATGAGGCATTCCATTTGGTTTTGAGTGATGAGCTGTATCATGTAAACCAGTCTTTAAGCAATATTCATCTGAGATAAACATGTCAATTTTTGACCTCAGTTATAATATTTAACCACCTATTTTTAGACCATATTCATTAGTTGAATCAGTCTTATTGTTGCTAAAAAAAATAATTGTTAATTATGCTTAGTTTGAACATTAAATATATTTTGTTAACTTTATAACATTTTTTTTTACAGACACAAGATACTAATACTGTAAGTGCTAGAGGGATTTGTGAGAACAACAGAGATGATATCAATGGACAAAATGGCAACAATATCAATGTAGTGTTTGTGCCTGTTGTTGTTAACTACGTACCTGTTTTAAAATCTATTCTTCTGAAACCTGCAAATGTTCCCAGTAAAAATCAAGTGGAATTTGAAAACAAAGGTATTGGTTACATTTTGATTTATTCTTAGGCTGCGTTCGGATGGGTTGCTTTGTTGTGCCATCAGGTTATAACTGTTCATCTCTCTCCATTGAAATCCTTGTATTTTGAAGCTCTCACACTGGCATTAGAGGTGCGTGTTGGTGGCAATGGAGGAAATGTAGATCTTCACCAAAAATAGCATGGGACTTTTTACATGACTCACTTTCTAGTGACACTTCTGAGCCATTGGTACATGACTGAGTTGCCCATCTGAAAGTAGGCTTGATCAAAGAGTGTGAATATTGATCTTATTGAATTTTATATTAATACATTATCTTACTCATTTGCGTAATGTAACATACTTTTCTATTGCTATGAGAGATTCTGATGTAGACCGTTGCAAATTTTTCTTCACTTAATATTTGACTTCATATCATTTACTGATGTACTATATACTGATTTCCACGTGTATTATGGCTCCTAATAATGTACAGAATTGAGAAATTTTCTTACAAATTTTGAAGGAATTAGTTATCATCAAATGACATATTCTAGCTAAATCACAAAACTAAAATGTATAATGAAAGTCTGTCCTTCATGCTTACTAACTCTGTACAATTAAACAATCCAAGACCTTAAAGAAGTGAAGGAGTCAACATTTAATTCAAGACATATTCCAGCATCAGATCTTACTTTTTTTTTTTTTTTTTTTTTTGAATGTTTTAAATGCCCCTAAAGCTGGAGTGATATCATGTTATATTCAAATTAATTAAGAAATAAAAACAAATTAACTGATTGATTGACTATACAAAGACACCAATATAGACCCCGAGTGCAAGTTACTCACACATCGCCCTGGTGGCAAATATTTACATAACACATAGGAGTTCGCTAATATATATGCATTGTATCTGAAACATATTGAAAACTGTACCTACTGCAGTAAATCACTTACTAGTTTTTAATTTGTATTTTTGTTATAATATTAAAAAGGAGAAAATGAAATGTAAATCGTTCTGTGTTTGGAAATTATCTATTAAGGTTACGTTACCTGAATCATTTAAAGAAAGTTATCCGGAAACAAGAGAAAACAGTGACTGTACAGAAATTTAAACCGAGAAACCGTCATCAGTTCAACATCAAATTCAATTTTATTCCTACTATAAATCTGCTTATACTGCAAAAACTGGAGGAGGGAGATATTGTTATAGCTGATAGAAGGTTTCCTCAAATTAAATCGAGTGTCAAAAATAAAAATCCTATTTTAATTATGCCATCTTTCTCAAAACCAAATCAAAAGCAGTTTAGTGGTAATGAAATGGAGGACACATACAAAATTGTTTGTGTAAGAATTCACGTCGAGAGAGCTATTCATAGAATTAAAATTTTTGAAATATTGAATCGCAGATTACCAATTTCACTTCTATATGTAGATAAAATATTGTTTGTGCAATATTAATAAATCTGCAGCCTCCAATTATAAATGAGAGAAATTCTTTTATTGTGAAAACACTATAAAACTATATACTTAAATACTATTTACAATCACAGCTAAATAATAATTATGGTAGAACATTTGCATCTTCTCTAATAGTGAACAAATGAATGTCTCATCTTTCTTTACTTTAAGTACAGTGATATCCCAAACTTACTCGATAGGTGGGACCAAGCGATAACCGTGTAAGTCAAATTCGCGTAAGTCGGGGTATAATTTTGCAATTTGTCTAAAATCCAAGTCGGATGTATGTAAGCTAATAAATGTTCTCGTTAATCTTATCTCGTCTTTTGATTCGTTCACGGTTACAAGAAATCACCACATAGAGTCTCTCGAGTCTTCGTAGATATAACAAACACAGAAATAAATAACACAAAATAAATTGTAGCTATGTGTTGATTCCGCGCGACACATTCGAACATGTAAGCTGAAGAATAGTGTGGGGGAAGTGAGTAATCGAGAGCTGCAAGGCACTCAAACAAAAGACGAATCGACTAGATTTGAAAATCGCGTAACTCTGGGTTTGCGTAAGTCGAGGTATTACTGTATTACATTTTGTATATTACTATAGATAAAGAAGTAAGAAAATTGAATATTTGTTACATATAAAGCTAATTGGATTTGTGTATAATACATACCATTCTGTTTTAAATAAACTTTAGAATTTTTGAACTCTAAATATTTTACAAATACCTTATTTCTCTTCATATTAGCAAAATTTGTATCTTTACATGTGTAAGAGCATTTAATTTCGAGTAAGCTTATTTTATTTCTTTTTATGCATATTCCATCAGGGCTTACACAAATCCAGGGAGCTTCATTACAAATGATAACTCCTGCATTGATTATTCTAATATTTTTTTTATCAAAAACGAATTTTTTTGAAATTTTCTCCAATTTGATTCCATAATCAGTTTCAATTGTTCCTTTGAATGTATTATTTAAAAATCTAAAAGCCAATCTTTCAAAATTGCTTTTTCATGTTTTTATAGAATGAGCCATAGAGCTGGTAACACTTTTGTCTTTATTATGATTTAATGCAAAAATCTTTGCTGTTACATGTTTGCACTGACCATGGATCCTTGCACTTGCGCGTTGTTGTAACTATTTTTCTATCTGCTGATAACTGAAAACTAATTTGTAATAAAAAATAATTCACAAACCGTGGTATGAAACATTTTTATTAAAGAAAAGTTCAACAGTTATTAAGTATATATTATTAAGTTATTAAGTATATAGCTTAATAAAAACAGCGATATACAATGTTGTTTTGTTGTCAAGCAATTCGTCCTTTTTGTTTATTGCAGAGATGTTACGCCGACATCTAAAATTATTTGAAAGTGCAAATTAGCAATTTAAATGTAAAAAAATACCTTAATACAAATATAATATGAGTAATATTATATTTGTATTAATTTGAATTAATATTAGTGATTTTCATTTGGGTTAGGCACGTAGCTGTAACTGTGTTTCTTCCATCGTTTCTAATTTCTTTAATTGCAGTTACATACTTAGCCGTTGCAAGTAAAATTGCTTCCTTCCATCTCAAAGGTGGAAAAAGTTGTCTGTATGGACTGGTTGAAACCACATGTTAAAATTATATCAGGCATTATTGACTAAAAGAAAAAAATTACACTCAAGTTAAGGAAAGTTTTGTTTTTTAATTGTGTATTTTATTAAAACATTTTAAAGTTGGTAAGTTGAAATGAACAATTTTTACTTGATTTTCTGTACCAAGAAACCCTTTCATTCTTTCTTTGGTAAGGGTTCATATTGAGAAGAAACCCTTTAGATTTTTTCCTATATGTTATATATTTATTTATTTTTTTATTTATTTAGTACAAGTGTAAGCTCTGTATGTACGGGCTCTTATAACTGAAATCACAAACTGTAATAAATAACAATACAAAAGACAAATTAATACAACAATATAACGCGTGACAATTAGACTGAAAAGAAAAACTACAAGACAACACCATGTTAATATCATCCGAAACAATAATAGCATTTATATTCTTATAAATAAAATACATAAATAAAACAAATGAAAAAAACGGCAGCGAATGGTCGGCATAAACAAAATATAATAAATAAAAGAAAAGAAAAAAAGTAAGCCATTACCTGCAAAAGAGTAAACAATTATTTAAAATACGCCCAAAAGCGCCGACCATAAACGCTGCCAACTCTCAAACACTAAATCGTTCACTTAAATAGTTAATTTACACCTCCTGGTGGTAAGCATCTGAAAAGGAAAAATTTCTTAATCTTAACAAATAAATAGTCAATCATTTAACTTAGTTACAAAACTATAAATACAATAATATTTATCCCAGTCCTGCAGCAACCGTTTATATGCTTGAACCGAAAAACAATCTTCACCATAACACTTTTGTCTGAGTGCAGTCAACGCCTTACATTCCGTTATTACATGAAAAGCGTCAAAATTAACAGTAGTATTACAAAATTCACAGTAGTCCATACATGGACTTAACATTCTTCTAATCATATTACATCTCACATATAATACTGCTTGTGTAATACAAAAAGGTCTTTCTAAATTCAGATAGGTCATCGACCCTCATTCATTAAAAACATCCATATACCATTTATTATATTTGTAATTAATCGCCTTGTTTTTAAACTCAGTTACATAATTAGTCACCAAACTCATTAAAAAATCTGAAGTCTCAATTTCATTTAACATTATCGGATCCTTTCGATAACCAGATTTCTGCAACAGAGACACAATTTGATCTCCCCACAATACTCTTTGGGAAATTAAAAATATTTTAGCAGACCCTGTAAGTTTACTAGCAGACTGCTTACGTAACCATTTTAAATTATTTTTTATTATATTAAAATAAAGGGGGACTCTTTGAAACTCCAAATATATAATATACGATGGAATCCATCTCTTTAGAGAATATAAACGCTTAATAAAATTAATTTGTATATTATCNATACAAAAAGGTCTTTCTAAATTCAGATAGGTCATCGACCCCCATTCATTAAAAACATCCATATACCATTTATTATATTTGTAATTAATCGCCTTATTTTTAAACTCAGTTATATAATTATTCGCCAAACTCATTAAAAAATCTGAAGTCTCAATTTCATTTAACATTATCGGATCCTTTCGATAACCAGATTTCTGCAACAGAGAGACAATTCGATCTCCCCACGATACTCTTTGGGAAATTAAAAATATTTTAGCAGACTCTGTAAGTTTACTAGCAGACTGCTTACGTAACCATTTTAAATTATTTTTTATTATATTAAAATAAAGGGGGACTCTTTGAAACTCCAAATATATAATATACGATGGAATCCATCTCTTTAGAGAACATAAACGCTTAATAAAATTAATTTGTATATTATCATCTTTATCTCTCCAATCAAAGCCCCAAATTTCGGATCCATATAACACTACTGATTGAATAAATGACTCAAATAATTTTAATTTATCTTTCCAACGTACCAATCTACCAGATACACAAGCTTTCATAATCTTATCAATTCCAAAGGTCACTTTACTGTGAATATACTTTAAATGTTTTAAAAAACGCCCATTAGACTGGAAAACTACACCCAGATACTTGTACTCATCAACAACGTCTATTTTGCGATTTTGTAAAAACCAATTCTCATTCTTAGAATGTTTTCCTCCATTTCGGAATACCATTATTTTAGATTTGTCAATGTTAACAGACAGTTTTAACTCCTGTAGTGTGTGTCCTAAAAAGTCAATCATTCTCTGTAGACCTATAGGCGAATCTGCCATAACAACCAAATCATCTGCATATGTCAAAATTTTCACCTCCGTTCCTAAAAGGTCAATGCCCACCAAATTAGAGTCATTCAATTTACTTACAAGTGGATACAAATATAAATTGAACAATATTGGGCTCAATACACAACCCTGTTTCACACCTTTTAACGTGAAAAAAAGATCAGTCGTACCTTCCTTAGTAGACACGCACGCCTCTGTATTAGTATACAACTGAATCAAAAAGTTTACAAATTTATAGCTCAACCCAATCTTCAGAAGTTGACTCCATAAAAGATCTCTATCCAACGAATCAAATGCCGCCGTCAAATCAACGAAGAAAGCGTAAAATTTACCTCGTTTCTTCCTTAAAGACTTCTGTATTAAAGCATGTAAAACAAAAATATTATCCAATGTCGAAAAACCAGCCCGGAAACCAGCCTGGAAATCAGAAAATATCTCAAACTTATTCAGCCAAGATATCAAACGCATACATAAAATTTTACAGAAAACTTTAGATATTGTCGGTAGTAACGAAATTGCTCTATAATTATCAGGTAAATCTCTAAGACCCTTTTTAAATATAGGAATAATCTTACATATGCGCCAGTCTAAAGGAATCATCCCTGATTGATAAACATTGTTAAACAGACCTACCATATATCCAATCAGATCTGGGAAATTCTTATATAGTTCCACCGGTATCCCATCAATACCTGGAGCAGTACCATTTTTCATAGAAGCTAGAATCTTTTTGACTTCCTGTTCTGTTATCTCCGTATCCAACAGCTCGTCCTGCCAATTCATACACCAATTATATATAGACATATCAGGTAAATATTTACTAGAATGAAATTTCTTTGAAAAAAAAGCTACCCAATCAAGATCTGGAAGCTCCCTGTATTTACTCTTAACAAAGAAATTAATAAATCGCCAGAACTGCTTACTATCACCAGACGCCAAATTCTTATTGATCTTCTGCAAAAAAAGCTTTTTCTTAGCTCTACATAAATTGCAAGTCACATTACGTTCTTTAACAAAATTTTTAACTGCAACACTATTTCCACACTTTGACCGTCTCATCCTATTCAACGCCTGATTTCTTCTTGCAATACTCAACTTACAATCCATATCAAACCACACAAAATTGGAAAATCCAATTGGCCTTTGACACCAATCTGAAAACGAAGATTTAATTAAATGAGTTAAACCTTCCAACGTTAATACTGACTGACTCTGAATCGCACCTAATAGTTCCCTATACTTATAATTTATCTTCTCACTACCTTCTTCCCTCCAAAAAATTCTCTCACTCTTACTCTTATACTTCTTAAATGATTTTCGAATTTCCTTCTTAGATTTACAATCTAAGACTACACTTATCGGAAAATGATTACTATACACTTTATCTAATACAGAAAAACTTGTTACAATAGATAATCTATTTAACTTAACCAAAGCCAAATCAATTACAGAGGAGCCTATATCACTCACATATGTATAATAACCTTTAGATATAGATGAACCTCTACCATTTAAAACAATATATCCCGCCTCTTCACAAAAATCTAACACCAATTTTCCACGATTATTTAATACTGTATCTTTTGATGACCTCAACATCCAATCCTGATCAATATTCTCATTACTTTCATAAATCCATTCCTGCAGTTCTACTCCAATGCGAGCATTAAAATCACCAATTAAAAAGTCTATCTTATAACAATTAACCAACCTAGCTACCTCTGTCCAAATAGAATTCCATAATGCAGGTCTTATATACATAAAACAGAAAGAAATTACTATAGGCCCTATAGACAATTCCACAACAATCCAATGCCTATCTTTTTCCAAGATATTTACTTTCCAAGAGTTAGACAATAACAACAACCAGCCACCAATACAGCGCCCTCTATCAGCCTCTCGATAACCTGCCTCCGAAAAAACAGAAAATTTATCCATATTTTGCAAATTGGGAATAGCAGACCTGCCATCCCACCACGTTTCCATTAAAAAAATTATATCAAAAGTATACAAAAAATTCCAAAAAGAGATAGGCTTATTTACAATACCTTCACAATTCCATGAAAGTACCGACGTACCTATTCCCAGTCAAGTTGACATTTGTTCTTCCATTTTCTTAGAAACTATATTATATTTATAAATTTTATTATCAACTTTAACCGCATTTCTATTATTTAAATAAGTAATTGAAGCACCCAATCTCTTTTTTTCTCTTGCAAAATCATTCATTATTTTCCTTATGTCTCTAGTTAAAGGAGGAAGGTCATCCATTATAAATATCCTCGTTCCTTTTAATTTAAATGCCGCTCTTTTAATCTTACATTTATCACCATAGTCAAAAAAACTACAGTAAATCAACCTAATACTATCTTTCCGTTGTTGACCCAATCTATAGCACTGCTCTAAACGAACATTATCAACACTTAATTTATTTTGAAAAAATTCCAATACTACATCTTTAACTTGTAAGTTATCATCTTCCGACTCAGGCAAACCAGAAATTATTAAATTATTACGCCTTAAAAAACACTCAAACCGCTCCTGACTTAATGTAAACTCGGCCATTTTGTTTTCCAAATCTATTCTATCGTCCGATAGAATCTTACCGGTATCGTATGTAAATTTTTTCTCTAAATCTTCTAATCTAGTTTCTATATTAACAATAGCTTCGTCCAAATTTTCTACCCAGGAGTAGATTCTATCAATCCTAGCAATCATTCCTTCCAATTTCTTATTCTGCTTTAAATTTAGCTGAATAAGTAACGATATCCCATCCTTAATATCAAATTCTCCTTGAAGTAACTCCAAGATACTCGTCTCCTCCAATGGGTCAGAATGAAAAATCTTAGATCTACTATCTGACTGACTTACAGGTGAATAAGTCTTCCTTTTAGACATGACGAAACAAACCAGTGAGCTTACTTAAATAGTTAATTTACACCTCCTGGTGGTAAGCATCTGCAAAAGAGTAAACAATTATTTAAAATACACCCAAAAGCGCCGACCATAAATGCTGCCCTATATGTTATATAAATACTTGCCGCTAGGGTAGCGTGCGAGTAACTTGCACTTGGGGTCTATATTGTGGTGTGACGGGTTAATGGAAACCATATTATGCAAATAATACACCATGTATTAACACCAATTTCAATTAATGATAAAGGAAATTATTTATTTACAGTTAACATACAAATTATTCAAAATACATGAACTTGAAATCATTTGTAATATTACAAGTTAACCGTTTTGGAGTACAAAATTCTAAACCGTTCCCTTTTTTTTCTTTTTAGTTTACAAAGCTCATATATCCGGTTACGCGTGCGGGTCCCAAAACCGGCCAGTACACAATTCGTTAGGATTGTATTATAATACTAATTATAACTAACTTAAAATAAAGACTAATATAACCTAGGTTAGATAAAGAATACAGAAAGGTCATGTTAGAAAGAAATCCTTTATTTGTACAACAAGTTGGGCAATTTTTCGACGTCTACCACGATGAATTTAGCATATACTACCTGACTGCACGGACACATTTCCTTCTCTCACGTGGTTCTCCCCTCGCTTGCTTCTCCAAGAATGAACAAAGAAGACCAGTCTTTCTATGCTGCCTTGTTAGTCGATACCCATTTCGGCCCAAAACTAGCCAGAAGGTACATATAGGTTGGAAGAGTTAAAAAAGGAAAAATTGTGCGGGTTATTTACGTAGATGGAGAAGTTACAGATAACTTAGAATATTAGCGAATAAAACATATATATACATGGTGGGATACACCACAATATCATACAGAGTTATGTAATATGATAAATCGGTAAAACTTTACCTAGGTGGACCCGATGGTCGCACTTCCGGAATCTCAACTACGGGTGCGAGATGAAGTACGATCAAAATAATATATTAATATGCAATATTTTGAGTTTGAGATTAAATGCTACTAATGTATCTTAGTGAAATTTTATAATAGTGTTAATTAATTTTGAAATTTTTTTATTTTTATAGAATTTAAAATTATAATTAATAGAAATTGTTTTAATATTTTTATAACAAAAATGTCAGAAGTTGAGAAAATTTCCGAAGAATTTTGGAGAAAGTGCACTTCTAGAGATTTTTTTCGCATGATGGACTCGGAATTTGAAGAAATAGACATTGATCAGAGAATAGCATCAGATTTTAAGTTTGCCGTTAAGCTTGGAGTGCAACCGATAGAAGCCATCTGTAGTAATTGCTCATTTCGCAGGAAATTATTTTACACAGAACATGATAATTCTGTATGTTTTAGATGTAACGAATGCAAAACGAATAGTTCGCCATTTGACGGTACATTCAAGGGCAAATTCGGGCATGTTTCGTGGGAGTGTATTTTTTCTTTTATATGGCATTTATTATGTATTGAGTGTTCTTTAACTAATACTTGTATGGCAGTTGGCATCAGTACATGTATTTCAATGGATTGGGCTAACTATGTGCGGCTTGTTATGAGGATTTCTGTAAGTAATATGTCAAACATTAAAGTTGGTGGTCCAGGAAAAATAGTTGAAATAGATGAAACTCTAATTATTAAAAGAAAAAACAAAGAAGGTCAGAATTTGAAAGAAACTCTTTGGGTTGTTAGAGGAGTATGTCGTCAAGATAATGCGTGCTTTGTATGCAAAGTGAATGACAGATGCGAACGATCTCTTAACTGGGTAATATCGAAATATGTAAATTCAGAAAGCACTGTCTGTATGGACGACTCGAAAGGAATAGATATTACGCATAAGAGCACGAAACATGCTGAAAATGTCAACCCAGAAACCGATGTGCATATTCAAACAATAAAACGTTTGTGGCGTTGTTTAAAAAATAGAAAAAGTGTGCCCATGCATTTCACTAAAGATTTATCGGATTCTTACTTATATTTCTTTATGTATAAGAAGATGTTCAGATGGGAACGATTAAAACCTGGAGAACGTTTCGAATTATTTGCTAAGCATTTGAGTTGGATTTATCCCGGACCAGGTAACACCCCTATTTGGAAAGAGCCAGAAACTGTGCCTACAGCCCCAGAAATGGACACTGAGAAGAAAGATAATCAGAAAAATGAGAATTTGGAAACGTCATCTAAAAATACAGTTAAATCGTCTTTAAAGAGAAAGGGTGAAGGTTGTAAAAGTTCAGAAGAAACATGTTCAATGTCCAAAGAAAAGAAGAAAGGGAATTAAAACTATGGAAAAAGTGAGTTGAATATTATCGTTTTTAATACAATTTAGTTTATTAATTGCACTATAATTTAGTGAGTTTTTGTAAATTTGATAGTTGTTGTCTTGTTTGTGGACGTGGCATTCACAAACAAGATGACGACTGGAAGTGTGGCCATCGGGTCTACATAGGTAAAAATTTACCTTGGGTTTGAATGATGACCCCTCGTAACTGCTGGCCAAATGGCCAAAACATTTAAGATGTCAGTGTACTGTACTGTAAGTCCAAGGATTGATTCCAAACAGATGGGAAAAATCCAGTAATTATTCAGGGAATGGTTCATTACAGATATATCAAGCCATATCCCTTACCATATGGCTTCCCATTGTGGGTCTGGCCAAACTTATAATGGGTGGGATAAAAGGCCCTTTTAGTGTCCATGGGCAGAGTCAAAAAGACCTGACTGTAGATAAATACTTTGACATGCAGCAATATTTTAAATGTTTCTAGTTTAATTTTTATAGATTATATATTATAAGCATTTTGTGATTTCCAATGTTTTGTTACATTTAAAAGTATTTTCACTCCTTAAATTATTGAGAAATTCAAGTTTTAATTTAGAAACTTTTTTCTGACAGACAGGCCTTTTCGCTGCAACATTTGCCAAAGAAGTTTTAAGTTGAAGGCAGATTTGGCAAGGCACGAGAGACTCCATTCCGACGACACTCCATTCTCTTGTAACATCTGCAAAATGAGGTTTAAACTGAAAACCTATTTAAACAGTCACATGACAATCCATTCTAAAGAGAGACCTTTTCAGTGTAATCTGTGTAAAATGGAATTTAAGAGGAAATCATATTTAATGAAACATCATAAAATGCACATCTTCAAGAAACCATTTCAGTGTAATATATGTAAAATGGGTTTTAAGAGCAAATCGTGTTTAGTACGTCATTCAAAATTTCATTTCGGACAGAAAAATTGATTTTAAATCAAATAAAAAGTGATTTTGTAAATATTTTAAACAATTTATTTTGTGATGTGGATGGCAGATGTGGTTGAGATGTCAACCCACTGCGCTGGGGATTCTAAAGTCTAGATTTGAACTTCAAATTTTCATAGATAGTTTGGCCCAGATATATCATCCTCCGTTGCTAGTCTAGATACACTGGCTGTCCTCATTACATGGGAAACCCGTAATGGGCAAAAAAAGATCATCTTACTGCCTACAGAGTGGAAAGAGTCAAACGAAAAACGATTTAATTTATTTGCGGACATAAACAAATTTTATGTAGTATTTCATGAAAATTTATGGTGTCTACAAATCATTTTAATACTTTTGTTTGATATTTAATTTATTAAATAAAAGTTTGTATTTTATGTAATAATTCTTTGTAGTTTTATAGATTTTTTTTTAGTTTTGTTCATAAATTTGATTACCATTTCTGTTTTTCAAACCATGGTGATGATAAAACAGTTTAACCTTAATTATCATTGAAAATAATGAAATTGTAGCAATCGGCAACATCCGAAAAACTCGATGGATAATATTTAAAGTGACTTTGCAGTACAATATGCCGGGGTTAGAAGTAATTCGAGTTTGTACAATCCGTTGTAACAGTAGGACACTTCATACTGTGGTTATTTAGTTGATTAGTTGTAGACTATGATTCATTAGCTCTATTTTCAAATCAAGTATTCATAAATGTTCTCTAAAGCTTAACACTACATACTTTATGTTGCCATAAAAATAGATCCAATTTAACAGTTTTCTGATTACAGTCTGTAACAAAAGTATAAACACACCTTCTTTTTAAATTAAATTAAATTTATTACTTAACAATAAAAGTTTTATAAGATGATTTTATATTTTAAATTTTACATGATTTATAGAGCTATTTTAGATTTTGACTATAACAAAATTATAAACACAGTATTAATAAATAACAATTAAAAATTGTGTTAATATTTTGAAACTCCACCTTTTGATGAAATGATTTGAAATATTCTATCTGGCATTGAGTTTACTAACTTTCTAATTTTTAGTTTATTTACAATGTTATACTGATTGTTTCCTCCACAGACAGCAAATGTTAGACAGCCACATAGATAGGAATCCCATCGAAAGTCTAGACTTCTAGATGGCCACTCGATTACCTCAATTTATTCTTTTTCAAGCCATTGTTTTGTCGATTTTGAGGTGTGTATGGAAGCATTGTCCTGTTACAATTTTCAGTTACTGCCACCAATTAATAGCCCAAATATAATTAAGTTGTCGTAGAGCATCTTTTGATAATGTTCAAAGTTCATTCTACCAATAATAAAAACGTCGTCTTATCACCATATCCAAAACTGCCTACACCATTACTGATGTTTCTCCATGCTGACTACTCACTTTCACTTTTTCATTCTTTTTTAAGTCATGCCAGTAACTTGAAAAGCTATCTGGTCCATCTAAGTTTTATTTTTTTTTAATCTGTAAACACTATTTGATGCCCAGGACATTTTTTTCTTTTGCCCATTGAAGTCTCGCTAATTGGTGCTATTTGGTTAATTTTAGTTTGTTTCATTTTTATGAAGTTTAGAGTTTGATTATTATTATTTAGGGTTGTCCAAACAGTTATGTACAATACTTTGTACATAACTGTTTGGACTATAGTAACAGTAGAGCAGCTGCAGCTTCTCTTGATGACATGTTTTTGTTTGTTATTAATTTAAATCCTTGGCATCTATATCTGTCAGTCACACCTTTCTGCTTACCAGATTGTTTATATAATGTTCCTTTTGCTGTAAAACATGCCTCACATCAGATGTAGAACAATTCACGCTAGCAGCTACTGTATTAATGACTTGCCAGATCCATGTAGTAAATGTATTTCGTGAATTTCTTGATTTGTTAGACTGCAAACACGAGGCATTGTTTAAAATCCTTTGAAATTTTCTAAACAATGTGTAGTGATATTGGACCCAGGATTTATAAATATGTGTGTTCTTTTATTTATTGTATGTGTTTGGCTTCAAGGAATGCAAAAAGAAAGTTTAAATTTGAAAGAAAAACAAAGAATGTTATGAATTTTGAATGTGGTAACGGTGAAAGGGATTTGAAGGCTGTAAGGGATATAAAAATTTTATTTTTGATGAGATGAAAGGTGATTTTGAAGTCTTCTCGCTTGAAGATGATTTTAAATGAGACGATATTGGATTTTCTACAACAGCACAGTTGACAATGTAAGAATTATTTTGTATAACAAAATATTGTCATTATCCAAATTGCTTCTTAACGTATTAAATTTTAAGTTGAAAGAATGTCTTTGGATCACTAGGGTAAAGAATTACAGCGTTTAAAAAGTGCATTACCGACATCAGACGAAGATGGGAATATATATTGTGACACTATTGATTTGGAAGACACCTTCAAAAACCTAAGAATGGAGAATGACAATCAAAATACAGCTAACATTCGAGAAATAAAAAGAACAATGATTTGTATAGGGATTATATAATTAGAGGTTTTGGCATTTTGGATCCGAGAGGAACAAGGTATATTTATGTGTTTGTCTGTCTGTCTGTCAGAAAAAAGTTTCTAAATTAAAACTTGAATTTCTCAATAATTTAAGGAGTAAAAATATTTTTATACTTAATAAAACATTGAACAAATTTATGTGGACTAATTTCACGTAGCCAGGATGAGCACGGAGATAGGTTCCAGAGAGAAATGGCAGAATTTCTGGATATGAAAGCTCACGAATATGGACAATTCAACTACATAAATTATGCCACTAAAGTGTCATTGAAACAAATTCAAAAAAAACATATAAATATAAATTTAGGGTTCAATATCACTACACACTGTGTAAATTGACACCATATATGATTTAAAAACTATTATTGTCCTCTGTTGTTAATAATAATAAGAGCAACTTAAATTATTATACATTTTTAAGCCAGTGTTTATAATTTTGTTACAGTCCAAAAATAAAAAATTGAAGTAACTTAAACTAGTAATCATTTTAATATAAAAATTTACCAAAATGTATTGAATTATATTTAAAATCTGTAGATAAAAGTAATTTTTATAGCTTTTTAATTTAAAATAAAAAAAAACATATGTGTTTTTTGATTTCTTTTAATTTTTACATTTGTTACAGACTAGAATTCTGTGTATATTTATTATAGTAACTACAGAAACTTTGTCTAAACTCCACATTTGAAATTTAATGAAGTCTCTCTGGATTTACTTCAAACATTACACAAGTTCATATTTGAACCCAGAAATAGTGTTAATATTTTTTTTTATTTACTTTGTTATACAAGGTAGATTAAATTATGGACCAGACTTATAACTGCTGGCCAGATGGCCGAAACATTTAAGATGTCAGTGTACTGTACTGTAAGTCCAAGGATTGATTCCAAACAGGTGGGGAAAATCCAAAAATTATTCAGGGAATGGTTCATTACAGATATATCAAGCCATATCTCTTACCATATGGCTTATTGTGGGTCTGGCCAAACTTATAATGGGTGGGATAAAAGGCCCTTTTAGTGTCCATGGGCAGAGTCAAAAAGACCTGACTGTAGATAAATACTTTGACATGCAGCAATATTTTAAATGTTTCTAGTTTAATTTTTATAGCTTATATATTATAAACATTCTGTGATTTCCAATGTTTTGTTACATTTAAAAATATTTTCACTCCTTAAATTATTGAGAAATTCAAGTTTTAATTTAGAAACTTTTTTCTGACAGACAGGCTTTTTCGCTGCAACATTTGCCAAAGAAGTTTCAAGTTGAAGGCAGATTTGGCAAGGCACGAGAGACTCCATTCCGACGACACTCCATTCTCTTGTAACATCTGCAAAATGAGCTTTAAATTGAAAGCATATTTAAAGAGGCACATGGCAATCCATTCTAAAGAGAGTCCTTTTCATTGTAATCTGTGTAAAATGGAATTTAAGAGGAAATCATATTTACTGAAACATCACAAAATGCACATCTACAAGAAACCGTTTCAGTGTAATATATGTAAAATGGGTTTTAAGAGCAAATCGTATTTGGTATATCATTCAAAATTTCATTCCGGACAGAAAAATTGATTTTAAATAAAATAAAAAGTGATTTTGTAAATATTTTAACCAATTCATTTTGTGATGTGGATGGCAGAAGTGGTTGAGATGTCAACCCACTGCACTGGGGATACTAAAGTCTAGATTTGAACTTCAAATTTTCATAGATAGTTCGGCCCAGATATATCATCCTCCGTTGTTAGTCTAGATACACTGGCTGTCCTTGTTACATGGGAAACCCGTAATGGGCAAAAAAAGATCATCTTAATGCTTACAGAGTGGAAAGAGTCAAATGAAACAAGATTTATCTTAATTTATTTGCAGGCATAAACAAATTTTATGTAATATTTCATGAAAATTTATGGTATCTGCAAATTTTAATACTTTTGTTTGATATTTAATTTATTAAATAAAAGTTTGTATTTTGTGTAATAATTCTTTGTAGTTTTTTAGATGTTTTTTTAGTTTTGCTCGTAAATTTGATTACCATTTCTGTTTTTCAAACCGTGGTGATGATAAAACAGTTTAACCTTAATTATCATTGAAAATGATGAAATTGTAGCAATCGGCAACATCCGAAAAACTCGATGGATAATATTTGAAGTGACTTTGCAGTACAATATGCCGGGGTTAGAAGTAATTCGAGTTTGTACAATCCCTCATAACAGTAGGACACTTCATACTGTGGTTATTTAGTTGATTAGTTGTGGACTATGACATCATTAGCTCTATTTTCAAATCAAGTATTCATAAATGTTCTCTAAAGCTTAACACTACATACTTTATGTTGCCATAAAAATAGATCCAATTTAACAGTTTTCTGATTACAGTCTGTAACAAAAGTATAAACACACCTTCTTTTTAAATTAAATTAAATTAAATAATTACTTAACAATAAAAGTTTTATAAGATGATTTTATATTTTAAATTTTACATGATTTATAGAGCTATTTTAGATTTTGACTATAACAAAATTATAAACACAGTATTAATAAATAACAATTAAAAATTGTGTTAATATTTTGAAACTCCACCTTTTGATGAAATCAGTTGAAATATTTTATCTGGTGTGAGTTTACTAACTTTTTAATTTTTAGTTTATTTACAATGTTATATGGATTGTTTCCTCCACAGATGGCAAATGTTAGACAGCCACATAGATAGGAATCCCATCGAAAGTCTAGACTTCTAGATGGCCACTCGATTACCTTAATTCATTCTTTTCCAAGCCATTGTTTTGTCGATTTTGAGGTGTGTATGGAAGCATTGTCCTGTTACAATTTCCAGTTACTGCCACCAATTAATAGCCCAAATATAATTAAGTTGTCATAGAGCATCTTTTGATAATGTTCAAAGTTTATTCTACTGATAATAAAAACGTCGTCTTACCATCATATCCAAAACTGCATACATTATTATTGATGTTTCTTTGTGCTGACTACTCACTTTCACTTTTTCATTCTTTTTTAAGTCATGCCAGTAACTTCAAAAGCCATCTGGTCCATCTAAATTTCATGTTCTTTTAATCTGTAAACACTATTTGATGTCACTTTCAGGTTCATGACATTTTTTCTTTTGCCCATTGAAGTCTTGCTAATTGATGCTGTTTGGTTAATTTTAGTTTGTTTTTTTTATGAAGTTTAGAGTTTTATTATTATTGTTTTGACTATAGTAATAGTAGAGCAACTGCAGCTTCTCTTGATGACATGTTTTTGTTTGTTATTAATTTAAATCCTTGGCATCTATATCTGTCAGTCACTCCTTTTTG